AAGGAGCCCTATATCACCACAAGCAGCGCCCTCACTGTTACCTTTCGTCTAAATGCCGTAACCCACATAACAAACCCAATAGCAGTTTTGCTCATCATAAACACAAAATAATGAATTCTGGGTTTGTTAACATCAAATTCGTAAAAAATTGTATTCATTCTTGCCCAACTAGCGTTTGCAGGGTCAGTAATATCAAGATACTAACACCTGTACAGTGATAATCATATTTACGATTCATCAGTAGAAAAATAAAGAGAAAAACTAGTTGCCCAAATTTACCCATTGTCAATAATCCATCAAGTTAAGTACACTATAACAATTATTTACAATATTATGTGGTGAAGAAAAGATCAAGCAGATGTTCAACCACCCGCCGTTCACATCTTTGGCTTCACACGGAGTTAACATCAATTCTTATGAAGCGATCCAAATATCAAAAAATACCAGCTAGTTATTCTTGCGGCACCCCCGAGCCAGCTCCTTAGGTTCGTAATTAGATGAAAGAGATTGAGTTCAATGGTGTACACACCCGCCTCTGTAGGGCTGCGGCCTCGTAGTGGGTTATCCTCGAGACACTAGCATGGTTCACTTTGATTGGATGCTACATTGCTGTTCTCCGATTCGTTTATACTCAAAAAAAGGCGGGATCCCAAAAGGGGAGTTTGAAAATACTTCACTCTGTTCAGAAAAGAACTGCTTGCAGTTGTTACTCATGCAAATACTTGCATATTCGAGGCTTCAAACTTTATACATATGCTATATAGATAATATGACTGTTAAATCAATATGCTCATTGAACGAGATAGCTACATATCTGTTCGCTCCCCAAATCTACACAAACCCCAGCGAGGGATTCTTCATAAGTGAGCGATTTGATTCGTGGTCAATTTTAACCTTAAAGGCACAGTTCACGATAAAAATGGTTTCTGAGATTCCCCCACCGGATAAATTTGAGGCCCCGCGTACACCACATCCGGCACTAATAGGTAGGAAAACGGCCTAGTTAGAGAGTTATAAAGGCTCAAAGACTGGCCCGTGTGTACCATCGGACGAGTTTCACTGACATTGTAGAGGCTGCACCGATTAAAAGGGAACCCATGTAGGAAGCTCAAACAACTTGTCATGACCCATAGTGACAGTGAAAGACAGTTCTGTACAGTTCTGGCTTAATGTAGTCAGCTCTTTGCGCAATTGCAACGACCGAAATCTCGTCCGAGTACCCCTTCCATGTCACTGACTTCATGGTAATCTTGTCCAACCTCTATTTCCCTACTTTTCAGGAGCCATATTTTTCTCGAAATCGGCGGATTCTCTCAGTCTCTTCACTACCGATGAACTATTCCCAATCTATACTTCCGCTTTTCGATTGAAATGGGTACCCCAAAATTATCGTGAACCGTGCCCTTAATGAGCTAGTTGGCTTTAACGACCCGTACAATGTGCGAGTTCCTCCAAGGGGTATAACATGGCAACATATTTGATCGAAATGATTAGTACTGAAGTGAACTTTGGTAGGTGTAAACAGTTCAACAAGGAGAGGCACATTATGCATTCGTCCCCTGAAGTATAATGTTCTCATTGCACTACTAACTCTCTATAATTTCACACTGATATCCCGATCGTCTCAACTGCCAGAAGCCCGCTCACGATCACAAGAGCTATGATGTGACTGCCCTCATTCAACAACATCAAGAAAACCACCTGCCGAGCTGCCATTTGTAGAAATGAATTGTCATCTTGTCATGTATATATGCCCATTTAAACCCCGTTGAACTGTAAACTCCGTTGCCGCCGGAGTATTGTCGTCTACGGCAACGATCCCTGTAACTATATCGTCGTCTCACTGTCTGAGACGGTTCCCTAGCTGAACCCACGCCCCTAAACGGTGCGGGGTAAAGCGGACCCGAGATAAGTGGGTCCGCACTCCTCTTGTTCAAGTAGTCGAAGTAAGACGTGAGTTGCTGCCTTATAAAGTATTGCTTACCATTATTGTGTACTATTATAGCGGGAATGACTGCACTTACTACATTATTGTGTTATATTTACTCCGTCATCACCGGAGCCCTTATAAATAACCGCTGAACCACCCGCACAACGGGTACTGTTGCTAAAAGATGACCTCGAATAACATGAATCAATTCAATCACACAATTACAAACGAAACAAGGTTAGAACTGTGTTTTGGCAGTTACAACATTGATACTAACACTCGGTATATTTCCCATGCCAGCTTCTCAATAAAAAGTAGCCAACGTACAATCAACTGCCTGATCCGTGATTTGTTGAATCAAAGAAAATAAGAAAGTGTGCCTTCGCAATCCAACAACTAGAAATAAGCTCCTAGATGCTTCTCTGAGAACTTAAACTGTAGAGTACCACTGAGAGTTCGGTAAGCTTTTCTATACAAATCAGGACTTCAGTTAGAGTGAATAATCGCATAATCGGTGGAAAGGTATGGCGTATAACTTTAACAGACGTTGTGTTGTGTTGCGCATGTCATTCTCTGTACCTAGTCGTCACACCAGATCAAGTAGTGATGGGTGGGACTAGGGCCAGATCGGCAGAGCACAAGTGAGCTTAGCAGAGCTTCACCCTCGGGAGGCGGTATAAGCGCAAGAGTGAGCAGAGCCAAGAGGGAAACTTCTCACTTTGATTCCAGAAAAGCTCTTACACTGGAAAAATGGAAGCTGATTAGGAATGGGTCAACAAGCC